CTGGGACACTCAGGGCTTGAGAGAAATGGACCAGAAGGGGAGTGGGCAGGCGGTGACAGAGGAGGAACTGGGATGGATAAGGAAGAGGGACAGAATGAGGTTACAAGGGGAGGGACTGGGGAGGCTCGGCTGGAGATGACAAGGAGAAGGGAGAAGGGAGGAGAAAGGTGAGCAAGTTGAGATGGAGACAGCAGAGACTGGGGGCGGGGAGCAGTGACTGAAGCTACTTGGGGTTACAGAGCTATGGGGCCCGCCTCACAGTTGCCCATCCTGCTGATTACGATAGAAGACATCCCGAAGGGGCTTCAGGGCTTCTGGGGAAAAGAGGTAGATGCCACAGTTGATGATGTCACTAACAAAAGTGCTGGGTTTCTCCACATAGTGCAGGACCTGAGGACAGAACGGGCTGGGGTCAGTAGAAAAGGGGCCACCGCCATGATCCCCTAACACTCACTGATCTCTAGGTCCTCCCTGCTGCCACGGTGGGGGCTTCCTAAAATGCAGAGTGCATCTTGCCACTGCCCTTCAACTTCACCTTCAAGATAAGTCCAAACTACATGCCTTCCCCTTCCCAATCCTCCCCACCTCCCAGCTGCTCCAAGAACACAAATCCAAGCCATTGCATGCCTGTGCCTGGAACGGCCTTAACAAACTCTTCATTTGGAAAATGCAGCTTTCAAAACCCAGTGGACACTGTCACTCCCTCTCTGAGTACACTCCTGTCTACCCCGGAGTTAGCTTCTCAGCTCTGGGCCCCCCTGTCCTCTGGCTGTACCTCGCCCGTGGCGCTTGCAGTGGTTGGTCTTTGACTGTCTCCTACTAGACTGAGGGCTCCTGAGAGGTATGGATCGTGTCTTCCTGGCTGTGTTTCTCACACCTAGCTAGCACCTAACACAAAACTTAATGTGTGTATGTGTAGGTGTGTTCATAAGTATTTTTAACATTAAAGCTTGAACAGATAAAAGGGGTGTGTGGCAGTCAGTTAGGCTCCAGGGCAGGAAGTTTCAGAGACTGGGACAGAGACCACCATCTGCCCTGCCAATCATGTTCCCACCTCCATAATTCTGGAGATACTATGCTATTTCCTGCCTTTGCAGATACTGTTCCCTCTATCTGCGATGTCTTCCTGTCTCCTTCATCTTGACAAATTTATCTCAGTTCAGACCTCATCTCCTCCAGGGAACCCTCCGCACACTCACCTAGATGGGCTGGGTTAGGCCCCTTTTGTGTTGCCATAGCGCCCTGTGCATATGTCTACTGGAGCACCACACCCATTGAAATTAACTGTTACCTCTTCACAGATCTTTCTAAAGGCATAGAAGAGGGTGTGTCCCACCTGTTTGACAAGACTGGGGCCCACCCCTTAGCATTCCAGCATTCTCTAGAGGCTGACTGGTGGGAGAATGATGATAAATACAGTAGGCACCCAGCCAGCTCATTCTTTGCTCTCACTTCATGCGTCTGTGGATTCTCTACGATGCAGCCATAGTTGAGAGATTGCGTCCTGTTAGCCTGAAAGATAGACACGTCAAGACAGTAACCTGCCTGCTCCAGGGCAGCAAGGTCTATTTTTTTTCTTGCTTTCCCTCCCCTATAGCACCTGGTACGCAGCTCCGCCACTGACAAGCCTTCAGGTGGGGCAAGAACTGACAGCTGCCTTCCCGCTCCCTACTTCTGAGCAGCCAAAGGGCTTGGGGTCTCCACCACCATCTCCACTACTGCTGGGGTTTATGGCACCTCTCCCTCCTGATGCCTGTTCCCACTCCAACTCCCGGGGCTGGCCCTGCCTCCCTGATCCCCTGCATTTCAGGAAATTCTGGATCATCCCCTTGACACCCTCCAGCCCCCCAGGGCCCCTCACCGTGGTGCCCAGGAGCAAGAAAGGGTGAGGCTGGTGTCTGTGGGCAGCCAACATGTCACTCAAGGGGAAGTCAGAGCAGACATCAGCGTTGAGCACGAAGAAGGCCTCAGGGCCCCCAGCCAGGATCTGGTCCCGGAAATGATAGAGACCACCTCCTGTACCCAGGGGGGCAAATTCCTGCAGATACCTGTCCCCCGAGACCCCAGAGCCAGCTCAGTGAGATCAGAGGAGACAGATACCATGGGCCTGGAGACCTGATCCCTCCTGTTCCTAGGATACGCCTGCCTAAGGCCCTCAGAGAAACAATATATTCAGAGTTTCAGGGATGCCCAAATAAGAATCTTCCCAGTGTGTGAGGGCAACTTCTGGCAAATGCTGACTGAACCCACTCCAGAGAACTCAGGCAGAAAACAAAGACACCTAGGACACCACTCCCCACCACCACGCAGCACATGCGCACAAACACCTGACCTGACAGGGAGGTTAAACTCTTGTTGGGCAGCTTCTAGGAACCGGGTAAGAGGCTCATCAGGTTGGTAGAAGCCAATGAGCAGAATCTCCTGCATTCCAGGGACCTGAGGACAAGGGAAGAGGTTGGGACAAAAAACATATCTGATAGGAGGGAATGACAGGAGGGAGAAATCCCTGGTCCTAGCCCGAAGTCCAGAGATCACAGTTTTAGTCTCAGCTGTGGGGCCCTGGGCACTCACTTTACCACACTGGCCTGATTTCTCCTTTGGACAATGAGGAAGTTAGAGGAAGTCTCAGTCTCCAATCTTGCAATCTTTTATTATTCTATTATTTTACCCCGCACCCCTACATTTGAAGTGGAGTTCACCCTAGAAAAGATTTTGCCTACCATGCTGTATTAAAGAATAATCCATTCATTTCCCACCATATTTATTATCTGTCGATCTGAGCTTGAGATCAGCGTGAAGTAAGGATACCATTTATCAAGTGCCTATATTGTACTAGGTACTTTATATAAACATCTCTAAGCTTTGCTACAACCACAATGTAGGTCTAATAACCCCTAGTTTACCAATAAGGAAACTAAGGCTGAGAAAGGGTGAGAAATTTGCTGAATTCCTAGCAGGCAGAGACTGGACTCAAATCAAAACCTTGTCTGTCTCAATACCAAAAGCAGTAAAGAAATTAGCTCCATAGTGAGCAAGAGTAGTATGATTCTGTGCTTTGTTATCATTAAGGTTTTCCATGTTAAGGCTTTAAGTTGTCTCTAAGATTCCTGCCTAATCTCACAGTCCATGCTGTAAAAACAGGAGTGAAATCCAAGCAAGAACAGGGCAGATGAGAGACTAGATTAGGGGAAGACAGCTGCATTGCACAACTCAGTGGTGGTGGTAGTGTGGGGACGGGGGGGGATGCCATTCACATTGTCATCTGTAACTGGTAGTCCCTGGAGTTATGCCTGGTGGAAAGATAGCATGGTTGGAAAGGGGAAAATATGCCACGCAGGAGATGAGCAGGAAGTGAGGTAGCAAAGGGGAGCCTACGGAATTACCTGGGCACAGGCTTCGATGTGGTGCTGGATCATAGGGACCCCCGCCACTGGAAACAGAGGTTTGGGCACCTCAAAAGACAAAGGCCTGAAGCGAGTCCCTGGGAGAGAGAAGCACATTTCAGCTTTTTGCCTCCTTCCGCCCCAACCCCACCAACCACTCCAGCCCATTCTCCTTCCCCTCATTCCCCTGGCTCCTCACCCTTTTGAGGACCTCCAATCAGGATCACAGCTTTAAGCATGATGACGATTGCTACCTAAACCTCAAATCCCAACAGAGAAGTCAGCCTCAGATCTTGCACCCCAACCCGGAACCCCACTCATACCTCAACCAAATCCCAAACCCCAAATAGCAACACTAGGCCCTCTCTTTCCCGGGATGCAAATCCAAAATTCAACATAGTCCCTCCCTAGGCACAACACCTCACAAATCTCACCCATCTCAAATCCCAGCCCAGATTCCAGTTGGCCTTCAAACCCCGCAGTGATTCCTACTAAATTCTGAAATCCACACCTGGCAATTTGATCTCTAACAGACTTCCCTCTGGCCGCAAACTCACTGAACTCAGAAAATCAGTGATAGACCTCACATTCCAAACATAAAAAACAAAACAAAACAAAACAAAACAAACCCTACCAATTCCTTAATTGTTGCATCCTCATTCTAGATGTTAATCCCTGAACCCCAACAGTGAACCCTGAATACAAATCTTGAGTAAGCCCCAAATATTTAACTACAATACTAAGAATGAATTTCAAGTATTAAACACTGATCTGCATTTGACAAATCCAAACCCTAGCAAAAACTCTTTATATGCTGAACCTAAATCCTAAGACTAACCTCTAGGTGATGAACCCTGAATCAAAAGACAGGTTCCCTTAGCATCCCAAACACTTAACATACCAACTCCGAGTCCCAATACTACCAAGTGCTGAATCTCTGGATTCACAGGACTGACTGCAGACCCACTGAACCTCACAACTGACTCTGATAAACCCTCGCGTATTCAGGAGTTGTGGAACCAGCAAAGCGCCGGACGTGCGAGGAGCCAGCCGGGATCTCCGAGCCGCCCTATAAGGGCCGTTCCCTGCCCTTCACCGCTTTTGCCAACCCTCCATCAGAGCTTTTTACCACCAGTCCCCTTTATTTCAACTCTGCTGCCGGCTACTGCTTGCTCCTTCCGTGCACGTGTCTTCTCGCCACTCGCGAGAACTTCGCAGAGTCTGCCGGGAATTGTAGTTCTTAAGTTACGTCCCCACTTCTGAGGAGAGAGGTTGGAACTTAGGAGAGGACTCGGGGACTTGGCCAAGGGATCGGAAGGGCGGGTCTAAATGAAAAGAAGAGTGGGACCTGAGAAGCAAAGGCCGGGACGCGAATTAGGACCGGGAGCAGTCTGGGAATGGGCCCAGGGGTAGCAGCCAAAGTAGAGAACTAGGTCACGGGGAGAAGCCAGGCTAGAGACCAGGAGGGGGTGTGGTCAGCCTTGAAACGGGCGTGGCCAGCGCGCAACGCCCCCAGCAGAGGGTGAGGCTTGAGGCATACAAAAGAAGAGAAAGCGGAGTCACAGACGCCTCTGCCCTTCCCGCTGGGAAGTGATGAAACTTCCAACCGTGAGAGAAGCTTATCCTGGACTTACTGTCTGTAAAGTAAGGCACTGAACTAGGCACTCTCCAAACTTCCCTCTGATCCCAACATTCTGTGACCTCTGTGTGTAGGTCTGAAATAAGTGTGGTTGTGTGTGCTAGGGAGAGGAAATGGCAACTCAAAAGACGAGAATAGATGCGGAAGGTCAGAGAGAGCAGCTTTATTAAGCAAGATGGAGAGGGGTTGTTGGTGCCACCCACCCCCCGGCTTGGAGCCAGGGCGAAAGGTCTGAGGGTCCCTTTCAGGCCACGTCCACGCGAGCAAAGCTCTGGTCCATGCCCAGGCTGTTCTCCACGTACACCTCGTACTTGCCGCTGTCCTGGGGTGTGGCCCGGCGGATGGTCAGCGTCGTGGTGGTACTGCCGATCTCGAAGAACACCCTGCGGGGGAAGGAGGCGGGGCGGGGACACGGGTCAGTTTACTGGGCCAGGCTAATTAGCCAGCTCTGTTCGACTCCCAGTTCCCCGCCCCGGTCCTACTTCCGCTGGTTTTCTTGGCCCCGTCCCGCCCAGGCTCCCAGCTCCAGGCCCTGCCCTTGCAGCAGATTCCCGCCCTCGCCTGTCGTCCTCCTCGATGTCCTCCCCGTCCTTGGTCCAGCCCACGTCGGGCGCTGGCTCGCCCAAGATCTCTGCAGTCAGCGTCACCGTGGTGCCTTTGCGCGCCTTAGTGTTATCTGGTCCCTTTTGAATTTTCGCCGGGACTAGAGGAAGGGAAAGGGAATGCGACCCAGTGAGGGACCTAGGGTGAGGCAGGGAAGGGACATCACCTCCTCAGCTAATACCGGTATTAAATACCGGATGGATTTAAACTCGCAGTTTGACGTTGGGGAGGTCTTTAGCCTCTCTGGGGCTTCAATAACTCAGTTAAACAAGACATCTCTGCCCTTCCTAATTTATGGGGTTGAATGGAGAATCAGAAGAAATACTACGGGGTGAAAGCCCAGGAATGGTCACACATCTCAAAGTTCCTTGGAGACAGCTTCGGGTAGTGGAAATTGCCCGGGGTTGGGAGTAGGAAGACCAGGGCTCTGTCTAACCCTGGCTCTGCCTCTGGCTCACTGTGACCTTCGGGCCTTGAAGTCAAGTGATTGAAGCCCACAGAGATTTCTTAGCCCGGGTGGGACGGCATCCTGAGATGGAGAAGAGCTACCCAGCCTGCGCTGCGCCGCGCGGCGCCCTGCTCTATGTCTCAGACTCTGCTGGGGCTGGGCTGGCCACATCTCCACCCGGATTCGGGTAGGCCCAGCGCTGAATGCGCAGCGGGACCCCGCTGCGGACGCCCGCGGGGTGGTGCTGCCCGGCTCTGTGGCACTGCACCCGGGGCGCGCGTACCTTCCACGAGGATGCGCGCCGAGTCGGAGCACTGGCCAAAGGGATTGGTTACGTTGATGCTGTACTGGCCCAAGTCCGCCAGCTCTCCATCGCGCACCACTAATGCGACCACGTCAGGGTCCTCAAAGACGTAGCGATACTTGGGCCCGTCGCGCAGCTCCTTGCCATCCTTGCTCCAGCGGATGAATGGGTCCGGGAAAGCCGAAATGCGGCAAGTCAGCTTAGCCGCGCTGCCCTCGATCAACACCACGTCCTTCAGCGGCTCCAGCACTCGCGGCGGCCCCTTCTCCCGCAGCTCCTTCCGGGACCTACCCGCGGGCGGTATCGGGGCCCAGAGCTCCCATGACACTGTTCCCACCCGCCCGCAGCCCTGTCTGCCCGCGCACCGTATTCTGCCCCCACCCCTGGCCTACTAGATCCTTAAACTTGGGGTTGAGGGAAGGTAGGGGGGCGCCCCTGAATCGTTACCCTAATAAAATGATCTCTTGTCAATCACC